TCTTTACCAACAGGTCCATCAATCGGTGTAAATGTATCTTGATCTCCGCGTATCTCGAGGACGAGTAAGTTGATTTTCGGAATTAATTGCACTGGATTTGGCCCGGGTGGGCCGGTTACAATGGAAACAAAAGCATCAAGAGCCGCTTCATCTTCTGCTAGTTTCTTAATAATCTGCATTTAAAGATAAGGAAAACAAATGGAGTATCAAATACAGAAACTGTATAGGTTAAAATTCATTCAGAATTTAGTCGTACGTCCACAAGATCCTCATCAACATTATCCTTATTGCCGTAGACAGACTGTCTCTGTACAACTGACATAAACTTGTTGAAGATTTTGGGAATTAATTTCTCATGATATATTTCTTTGTGTATTGTGTTACATTTATAGGAAAAACTATACATGATTCTAGGAACTGATAAAATAAAAAGAAATAACTGAAAGATTCAGATATATCAAAATATGAACTAACTAAAAACTAATTCCTAGATATGTGGGACACAAATTTGACTCCCTGTTTGACTCAATCAATCCAGATTTGCAACACTCCCCCTCAAGCTGGAATGTGAATATTCTTCATTCCTAGCTTGTCTAGAATCCGGTGTAGAGAATTACTGGGTAGCCCTTTTGTAAGTACATCCGCAAGCTGCTCATCAGTGGAAATATAAGGCATACATATCAGTCCATCTTCTAACTTTTCTTTGATGAAGTGACGGTCAATCTCCACATGTTTTGTACGATCATGATGTATTGGATTATGTGCTATGTTAATAGCTGATTTGTTATCACAGTAAAGCTTCATACTTCCACTCCAAACAATCCCCAAATCATCTAAAATTATCTTTATCCAAAGAAGCTCACAAACACCTAATGCCATAGCCCGAAACTCCGCTTCTGCACTTGATCTTGCCACTGCTGCCTGTTTTTTACTCCTCCAAGATACAAGGTTTCCTCCCAGAAATGTACAGTACCCTGATGTTGATCTACGATCCACAACTGACCCTGCCCAATCTGCATCAATGTATGCTTCAAGGTTAAGTGATGTCCCTCTCTTGTATAGTATGCCCTTTCCAGGCGTGCCTTTCAAGTACCTCAATATCCTATAAACCGCTTCTAGATGTTTCTCCCTTGGTGCGTGCATAAATTGACTTACTACACTCAGTGCATAAGCTATATCAAGACGGGTGTGTGACAGATAAATAATCTTCCAACTAATCTTTGATATTTCCCCCTATCCACCATTGTATCTTCTAACTCCTCTCCTAATTTATGAGATTGCTCAATGGGGTTTTCAGATGGCCTACATCCTAGCATCCCTATTTCTTGCAGTAAATCCAAGACATATTTTTGTTGAGAAATAAATATGCCTTCTTTAGAATGTGCAACTTCTATCCCCAAAAAATATCTCAGTTTTCCCAATTCTTTAATCTTAAATTCAGCTGCTAATCTCTTCCCAAGTTTCCCAATCTCATCAAGGTCATCTCCTGTTACGATGATATCATCAACATATACAATTAAAATTGTAATTTTATCCTTACTAGATCTTTTTGTAAAGAGGGTGTGATCTCCTTGAGATTGTTTGAATTGCATCTTCTTCATTGCCTGAGTAAATCTGTTGAACCATGCTCGTGGAGACTGCTTCAACCCATATAAAGCCTTTTTTAGTTTGCAAACATGATTTCTTCCAAAAAAGCTATTGAATCCCGGTGGTGCATCCATGTAAACTTCTTCTTCCAACTCTCCATGTAAAAAGGCATTTTTTACATCAAATTGAAGCAATGGCCATTCAAAGTTTGCTGCTAATGATAGAAGAATTCTGATTGTGTTCATCTTAGCTACAGGAGCAAATGTTTCTTCATAATCCACTCCAAATGTTTGAGTATATCCTTTAGCCACAAGCCTCGCTTTATATCTCTCCAAGGAGCCATCCGCTTTATACTTTATTGTATACACCCATTTACAACCGAAAATTTTCTTTCCTTTTGGCAATTCCGTAATCTCCCAAGTTCCATTCTTTTCAAGGGCTTCCATTTCCTCCTTCATTGCCTTTTTCCACTCTTCTTGTTGCAAGGCTTCCTCTACATTTTGTGGTATCTTATCTGAATGTATCTTGGTGAGAAATGATCTATAAGAAGGAGAACAATTCTCAAAGGAAATAAAGTTAGCAATAGGATGTTGGGTGCACTTTCTAGTTCCTTTTCGAAAGGCAATGGGAAGATCAAGATTTGTTGAGTCACTACATACCTCCTCATTACCTGCTATAGGATCAGAAAATTGAACTAGCATTGGTCCAGGATCAACTTTCCTCCTTGAATAAACCTGCAGTGGCAAATTAGGAATTGTGTTCCCTAGTTTCTCATTAACAGGATTCAAAGGACTCGAATGACTCGAAGTAAAAGGCGGCTCTTTGCTGGCTGATATTGGCTGAGAAACAGTTTGATCTAATTGTTGATTTTCTGGTGGTTGCTGATGTTCAGATTGCTCATTAATTGATTTGGCTAGCTGTAAGTTGGTAGGACACTCATGAAACTTGGGGAATTTATCAACCACCATCTCAATCATCTTATCTTCATCTAAAGACTCCCCCTGAAGAAAAGATGGCTCAAAAAAGAATTTATTTTCAGCAAATGTAACATCCTTAGAAACAAAATATTTCTTAGTGGTGGGATGATAACATTTATACCCTTTTTGACTGGGAGGATATCCAATAAAGACACATTTAAGGGCTCTAGGATCCAACTTACTTCGATAGTTTGAATGAATATGGACATATGAAACACAACCAAAGATTTTTGGTGGTAGAGCATGGATGCTACTAACACAAGGAAAGAATTGTGAAACATTAACACTGTACCTATGCTGTGAACATTAGTTATACTGTCTTG